AGAATTCATGCACTTTCCGTCGAAGTCCTTCTTTAAAATGATATTCTATTTGAAATTTTGGTTTCCCTGGAGCATTACGTGGCATTTGAAAACTACCACATTTCTCTTCTTTAATAACTCTGTAAATCGTAGATTTCCCAACACCAAGTGTACTGCTAAATAACTCAACGGTCTCATCAACACTTTCACACAAACGTTTGTCTGTAAATGATTTAAAACAATTAAATATTAATGTTTTTTCATTAACTGTTAAAGGACCAATTTTTCGGCGTTTACACGGCACTTCCAAATTTTCCATAACACTAGTATACACAATAAACTGCACCTTGCAACTGAAGTACCTACTTTTAGTGAACTGTTAAGAATTTTGAATACGCCACTTGGACCTTCCTACAAAATGGAAAAACCCACTATCACATTTTCTGTGGAATAAGTTTAGAAGGTAATTATCTAGTCAATTACTGTCGTAGATTCCTGGAATTAAAGAATTAAATATTTGATTGTTGAAACCCTTACTTCGTGGAATGCACTCATTTCAGATAAAATAAAACGTTTTATTTTATCTAAAGAATTAAACTTTATTTTGCAAATAGGTAGGTACTTATTAAACTTTTATTGGTTATATATAACCAATAAAATAAACATCTTACATTTCTTGCAAATTCATTAGTACCTGTTAACCTCCATCACTCCGACACTGGCAACCTTATTTAGGGATTAGTAACCCTCACAACTATTGTATTCTATTCTGCTCCAACCTTTATACCTGGTGGTCATACTCAATTTAAAATTGTTTTCCTATATACTTCTGTAAACTTGTTGACAAATATCTGTTTTTCATTGAGTCACCCGTATCAACAGTTTAGGGATTTGCATACATAATTTATTGTTTTATTACTCTCTCATACATAAAAATACACTATAAACATCTCCAAATAAAATTCATGACAAACCTAGTACCTAGCGGAAATATCAATATTGGAGACAACGAAATAGAACTGGTGGAAAAATACATATACCTTGGAGACGAATTAAAGACCACAAGGGACAACCAAGCATTCGAACTATGAAGAAGAATAGACCTAGCATGAACAGCGTATGGTAAAGTCAAAGACATATTATTTAAAAGCGATTTACGAGAATTTCTTTAAAACGTAAAACACTTGACCAATGTGTGTTGTCTGTGATGACCGAAAATTTGACATTGACAGCTACAACTTCTGAAACGCTCCAAATAGCTCAGAGGAATTTGGAAAGGTCAATGCTGAGTATATCGTTTCGTGACCGAGCTAGAAATGAAGACTTAAGACGAAGAATAGGAGTTACCGATGTAATTTCCCGAATTGCCACACTAAAATGGAACTGGGCCGGACACGTCCCCTAATCAGTGATGAAAGGTGAACGAAAAGATTGCTTGAGTGGAGACCGAGGTTATACAAAAGAATTAGAGGAAGACCCCTATTCGTTGGACTAACGATCTCAAGAAAATGTCAAGAAATTGGATGAAAAGTACTCAAGATAGAGCACAACGGACAAAAATGAAGGATGCCTATGTCCAGCAGTGGATGCAAAGTGCTGGGTGATGATGATATACAGCGTACGCAAGGGCGATATCGTCGGCCTAATTAGCAAATCACATAAGTCACAAAAGCAAAACTTTTCAGGAGACACATTAAATTAATTAAATTAAAAAATACTGTAAGTTTCTGTTCTAAATATTGATGATAAATCTACTACAGGTTAGATATTAGTATATATTTGTCTAAAACATGATATCAGTTAATGATAATTATATAAATGGACTTATTGATTTTTCTGCGCTTATTCTTATTTTTGTTGGACTTGTGTGACTTAATAAAAATACATAGTTTAAACAATTATTACATTTTATTGATAACTTTTTTACTTAAAAAAGATTTTTTGAACAAATTAAAATTAATTGTGTACTTAATATTTATTTTCGTATTATTCATGTGGCAACTGATCGTAAAAATATTGGTAGTCTTTGGGTAAAATATTTTTTAAAGACATTAAGTGGTCGAATTTCTCTCTTTTGATTTTTAAAGGAGCGCTATATAGACGAGGAAGTTCTTGCAGTTCAGTAGCTTTAACTTTGTTATATCTTGATGGAAGAGCTTTCCAGTCGGCAACATGTCGCAGTTTGAAATCTATGGTACCGTTTGAATTGTACCTATAAGCCCGGACATCATTAACCCTTGGGTCTCCAGCTTTGCGCCCAGGTCTAATTGAATTGACAAAATGTACCTGATCAAAATTTTTGAAAAGCTATTTTTAAGGTACTCTACGTTATAATTCTTGGGATGTAGTCTAGCTGTTCTACAAACATCAACATTATCTGCCGGTACATTTATGTTTCTATTTCGTAACTTGCGCTCAATAACGGAATGCATAGAATCGCATTCCATTTGAGTATGACCTCGTTCGAGGTACTTCTAAATTATTGTAATTTTCCCAAGTACAGCTAAATTAAGCAAGGCATTTGCAATGGTTGCATTCCTATTTTGGCAGCCACATCCGTCGCTCCAAAAAATTAAGCAGTTATTGTCGTCTTCACCATTATTTTCTGTTTCTGCAAGGTGATTTATTATAAAAGTGCTAATTATAGAAGCAAATGATTGTGCACTTAATCCTCCCTCGCCTTCATGCCAGATGTTACAGTAACCAGCTTTCGTCTTCAAATCATACACGGTAAAATTATGCACAATAAGTTTGGTTTTAAAGTAAAGTGAACCAGCATTTGATTTAGGGCATAGAAGCACCGACTGCAAGTCCATCGTAAAGACGCTATTATTAGATTGCTTATCCAATTCCTTCTCATGCCTCGCTTCATCTTTCTTTTGTATGTGTTGGTGATACTCTTCTTCGGTAATGTTTTTACTTTTAAATGAAATGCAGACGTCGCACTCGTCTTTTTTGGTTTAAACAGACTAAGATTCAAATCTTCAAACATATGACAAAAGTAAGCTATTGACATTGGAGATTCATTAAATTTAGAACACCATGTTTCTTTATACAATGTGTACAATTCTCATTTAGATTTCCAAATTGGTTCAAGATACTGTTTTGAGGATGAACTTCTGCAATAATGGGATTCAACTTTTGCAAGCGATTTAAAAAAATCTTGCAAGTGTTGTCGCTGAGAACATTTTCTTGTTTTTTCCAATCCTGTCGTGTTTTCATTAATTGTTTTTTTGATATCCTCATTATTTTCTGTACTTATGTGGTAAGCTTTTAACCAATTATGTATTGTCCAAGGTTTCAAGCCTAATGTGTTTGAAAATAGTTTTTTGCAAACTCTTAATTTTAATCCATTCTTTTCAAGATAATAATTATAAGAACATGCTCTTTGAGATGTGTCCTCATTCTTTCTATTTCTAGCCCTCGAAGTGTTTACTCGTTGGGTTAGTAGATTAATGGTTAACTTCTTTTCATCCCAAGTTTTTTTCCACAATGAATCAAAAATGTTATTACGGTGCTCTTCAGAAAAGGCACGACATTTTAACTTGGAAGTGTTTGGGTCAAACTTGCAATTACATGTCTCTGCCAAGGACTTTCTGGGTCTCTTCAAGTCATATGTCCATTTATTACCTTCTTTCTTCTTCCCAAAAAATTCGATCAAGTTCTGTTCTCGAATTATCTCTCCATCCGTATTATTTATTGTCTCATAATTAGTTACTAGACTATGCAGTAATGTTCTTTCAAATTCATTCAAATTTTCTTCCAGTACGATTTCCGTGTTAATGTCAATAGCAACAGCACTTGTTTCATTTGTCTGAACGATTATTTCTTCTTGAAACGTGCTTGTTTCTAAAACATGTAGTTCGTAGTTTTTATTTTCTTCTGAGTTAACAGGTATTTCCAAGTTCAAATCGGGATTTAAAGAATTGTTGTGTTGAATTTTAGCCATACTAAGCATCTTCTGAGTTCTGCTTGACATTCTGCAACCAACAAAAGAATTACTTATAAAATACTTATGGATTTCGGCAAAAGATGAAAATTTTTATCTTCATGTGTCTGAATTCTCAGATAAATAGATTAATTTTATGCATTAACGTATTACTTACATTATTGCATACAAAATACAAAAAAACGTATAATTATTTTATTAACATCTAACTTCAATTTGACATCATAAAATAATATATAAACACACAAGTCCATCAGGGATTCACATTGTATGACCAAACATAAAAAGAGAAAATCACATAAGTCACAATGCTACCTTTTAAGCCGAATTATCAGATAATTTATTGATTAATTTTTATAAAATATTGATAATATTAGCACAATAACTTACTTGAATGAATACCTGGTGTATAACAACAATTAGTTCTTAATGTACAATTTTCAGCCTAAATTGAACAACTTAACAAGACCTTTAGCACGCACGTGTGTTTACCGCGTAAATACCAGGAGTTATGTGATTTTCCTATCTGTTACAACTAACGTTGGACTTGTGTGAAGTATTATTTTCAATTTTACTCCATTGCAGATTTCTTGGGACTTGTGGGATATTCTTTAACTAAAAGATTTTTTTATTCTCTACCAGATGGTAGCACAATGTCAATTTCGACAAAAAGTGGACTTATGTGATTTGATAATTAGGCCGACGATATGTTTATGTAAATCTAGTATGTAAGATACAGGCATAAGAATATCTACATCTCCATAACTTATTTTTTACTCTAGTATTGAAGTGTTTATTAAACCATGCAATATAATACAAATGATGATAATTTAATTTGTGCCATTATTACAAGCTTTCTATTAATTTTCAAGAGTATTCAAGTATAAGTTTCAAATATTTTTTAGGTAACTTCGACCACTATAAATACAAAACTCCTGTTTCGGCTTTTTCACCGGAAAGCCAAAACAGTTCTAGTTCCTCATTGGTTCACTCTCTCTCATCTCCATCGAATGTGTCAGCTTTTCCGAAAAAACACAGCACTTTACAAGAACTCCTAGTCAATAAAGATCCATATGGTTCACCAGATAGGTCTATTTTAGGCCAGTCTTTTCCCGAAAGACACACGATGGTTCCTGGACAGAGCATGAAAATGGCGAAGACGCCGAGTTCCAGGTAAGCTCTTTTATTTGTGTTCTTATTATAAAAGCCACTTTTGTTGCATGCATCTTTTGATTCTACGTTTTTTTATCAGTTTTTCTCAAATTGTTATGATGCTGTAGTGATTTTCATTTTTACTGTCTTTCCATTCCCTTCTTATGTCTCAGGTGAGACACAAGAAAGGGACTTTTCCTGCTAATGTCTATCAAATATCCCATTTCTCATCGGTACTTCAGTGCTGCCAGGTTGAGTGTAAATAATCCGTGTCACCTTGACTTTTTCGTACACGGAACATAGGACAATGCAATCCTAATGGAAGTTTTTACCACAGCGATGTAAATTTTTATCTAAAAGAATTTGTAATCAAACATTAGACAGATCAAATTAAAATCGTTGTAGAAAGACAATCAGCAATTATAGGATTGACATGCATAATAACTACCGGGTGGTGAATCGTCAAACGGGCCATAGGAAACTCAATGAGAAATTTTAAATTGTTGAATTGCTGCTTCCCTAATTATTTTAGATCAAAAGTCATAAAAAACTATTTGTAGAGGACTAAAATCCGAATTAAAAACAAATGTTAAAACCGTTCTACGAATCAACTGTACTTCAAAATTTAAAAAAAATGTGATACATTTTTCAGACCACCCCTAAAAGTTAGGCCACACGTAATGCAAGAATATATATTAGGTCGTGTTTGTTTTATCATATTAATGTCAGATGTTTGACAATTTGAATTGTCAATCTTTTTATTTTATGATTAAATTGTAAAAAATGAATTTTACTAAATACTACTACTACTGAACATTATTACTTTGTGAACAATAAATAATATTGTTTACAAATCGATCAATGTTGACGAAAAATCGCATAACGTTGTATTCAGGCAATAACGCGAACCTTTTCCTGTCACTACCGGATCTTTATTTAACGTAAGATATTCTAATTCACTAAAATTTAATTCCATGTTAAGTTATACAACAATTCAATGAATTCCAATATACTGTCACTGTGATCTTTATTCCTAATAATAATATATGATTATTTCTAAACATAAAACTATAACAAATGTTATAATAAAACATGAATAAAACATTTTTATTATTGCTTTTTTCTCCTCAACTGAGTACATTTTTTAATCAACTTAATTTTTTTTTAACAATAAATCATAAAATTTTGGCCATTTAAATCATAGATAAATGTAATATAATTGATTTAAATATTGTCAAAAAATATCAGAAACAATAATATGACAAAACACAACACGTAATACACATTTTTTCACAGAAAAATGTATTATATTTTAGCAAAATTTTGGAATACGTTTAAGTCGTAGAATAATTGTAACAGTTGTTTTCGATACATATTTGAGTCCTCTACAAATAGTTTCCCATGACTTTTGGTGTAAAACAATTAGGGAAGCAGGAATTCAACAATTTAGAATTTACCATTGAGTTTCCTATGGCCCGTTTGCCGATTCACCACCCTGTATAGTATATCAAACAAGCTTTTTTCATATAATTATTCTATTTTTTATATAAATTTAAATTTATATTTAACTGATTTTATATTGATTTTGCACTTTTAGAAGAGTCATATATTCTCTTGTCCTTGCTATGTCGTACATACTCGACATAGCAAAGTGGTAATTTACATTTAGTTACTTTGTAACGAAAATATATTTTGCCTACCAAAGGGTTAATTAATACAGAGGGTAGAAAATGGGGGGAAGAAACTAAAGGGGTGGATATAAGGCAAGCAAAATAATCGCTACTGGTGCGAACGGCACTCAGGGTTTGGTAGGAGAGCTGGGGTAGTGGATAAGTAAAAGATAAGAGGGGTTGAAGAATGATGCGCATACCTTGGGTGGATAGAGTTCGAAACGATGACGTCCTTAATAGAGCCGGCGTGGAAAGAGAACTCTTTGAATTAATTAAAAAACGCAAGATTGGTTACCTTGGGCACATATTGAGAGGAGCAAAATATGAAATACCACAGTTAATCCTACAAGGGAAGATCGAAGGTAGGAGAGGAGCCGGCCGCAAACAATTGTCCTGGTTAAGGAATATTAAAGAATGGACAGGAATACACAATACAGGTGAGCTGTGTCACGCCGCCAAGAACAGAATTCTAGTAATGAGATAGTCGCCTACGCACTTTGGTGTATGGCATGTTAAGAAGAAGAGGGGTTGGATTGGGGAAACTACAAAAAAAGAAATAAAGGGGTACTTAATCTCTTGGGACAAACAAAATAAAAATAAATAGAAAACACCTCAAGGAATTTAATATAGGGCGCTACTTGAGGTACCTAATTATACCTATTACAACCACTAGTTGTAACTAGGGAAATAATTATAAAATATCAAAAACATATCTTTTTCAAATAAAACTCAAAAAAGGGTTAACTCAAAAAAAAATAAAGAAAACAAAATTTAACATTTATTTTTATGTCACCACAAACAGTTACAACATGGAGAAATACAAGAATACAAAAAACTTACGTGTGTCATCCGTTTACAAACTCCAGGAGTTGGAGATACTACATAAAACTTACAAATGTTACCGCATTACAATTTTTAAATGTTACAATTTCTAAATTTTAACGGAAGCAATTATTTATTTTAAAAAAAATTGTCTGTCTTTACTTTAAAATTTGATCAAAAAGTTACCTGGATTTTTCACTAACAAAATGCACTAAAATTTGTGGAACCAGACGCCACTGGAATCTCCGAAACCATAACTGGAACTGAGGGCTTCACTCTCTCTGCGTAACGAACAACTCCATCTCCAAACTGCCAAAAGCCTTGGATAACAAACAGGGAAAAAACAAAACGAGGATGGAAACGACGATTCTTCCAATCCTCACTCAAAACATTATTTGAAGCATTTACTGCCACAAAACCATCTTTCACTGCTACATATTCTTCATAAAAAAAGACGAACAAACGTCTTCATAAAAAAAAAAACACGAACAACGAGGAACATTTCAAATTTGAAGTCAAATTCGGACATAACGTTGACCGCTTCTCACCGCGGCTCCAACGGTAGTGAGGAAATTAAAAATTTGTTCGCATAACTTGAAAATAAACAAACAGTTGACAGGAATTAAAACGCAGAAAATTATAACGTGACTTCGAATAAAACATTAAAAGAAATTGCCGAAAAAGTTAAAATTATAAACAACTCTAAAATGGTTTATTTTAACTTGGCCGACCTAAGAACGAATTGAAAAGATATTTGGGTTTTAATACGTATGAAATATTCTTAAGGCCCGTTGTCACGCTACGTCTTATTGTACGTTTTGTTGGATAGGCCAAATCCTATACAATAAAACGTGGCGTGTAAACAGCAAAACGTACGTCTTGTCGAATCGAAATGAAATCCAAGGTCAGATCGTAGAAATGATGGGAGAAGCATACTTTTGCGAGAACTGATAGGATAAAACGTTACGTGTAAATACTTGTTCAGACAAGTCGTCTGATCTTGACTTCAGTCTCAGTGTTCCCAAACTGACCGAAAAATCGGTAGATGTACCTATTTCGCCATTTTTCTACCGATGTACCGAAAAAGACTTAAATTTTACCGAATCTTATATTCAGATAAAAATTTTTACTTATTCTTAAATTTGAAAAGAAATAATAAGAAACAAAATAAATTTTCTTGCGATACCTGTAATTTGCATTGAGCATTTTTGTGTATTCATGAAAACGTGTGAAAACATTCAAAAATTTATTCTTAAATTATACCTAAGCGGTACTTTACAAAGTACATGATGTCATAAAAGCTAATAATACAATAATAAATGAATCCAAATCCATTGTGATCCCAACCGCTTGGTTCTGGGAATTTGTCAAGTTAGGAGAAATGAGGTAGACAACGGAAGGAAAAACGTAGTGTGTATACACTGGACAAAACGTACGTTTTATATGACCTACAAAACGTACAATAAGACGTAGCGTGAAAACGGGCCTTAGATTTATCAAACATATATAAGGGGATTTTAATATTATACATATACGAGGGGATCTCAATATAAAATGCTACAACTTTCAAGACAAATTGTAAATTACTTCAACATCGAACTATACCTTGCTTGGCATTGATATCGCTAAAAGTATATTTCATTGCGTGATCAAATATTTTAAAAAATGTTCAACCGTTTCATTTACAGATTATCTTCATCAGCACCTACCCACTTAGGTCTCGAACAAATATGGCAGCGACGAGAACCCCGTAAACACTTATTATCAACTAGTTCCTTGGTAGAAGCAGAATCTGCTTCTTCTTTATCGACCGGAGGGTTACTAAGTCCAGATCCACCAGATTTATCCCAAGATGAAGAGTCTGACGACGATAGCGATGCACATTATGAAGATTTTTCTTCTGATAATGGTAAGACAGGTTATATTTTGTTAATAAATAAGTAATATTTAAATATAAATAAAAATATAAATAAGATCAGGTACAGAAAGCCAGTGGAAAAACATTTTCAGAATCCATGAGGGAAGCTCAGGACAGAAGCCGATGGAAAGAGATAGTGGCTCGTATTATAGGGAATCACGACACTCAGCAATGAGGAAACGACTGAGGAGAGAGATAAATAACTAATTCATCAAAGACTTAAAGCTATTCTTGGACATAATATTCAGAATTGCATACGGTTTTTTCATTAAGAATACAATTTTGCAATCTTAAGATAAATTACTTTAGTTTGATTCCTATATAATTGCATAGGCTTTAGAAAATTATCTTAGTTTTCTAACGAATAGAAGTTTCTGCAGGATTAATACCAGGAAAAAGATTTTTTATGTCAAATGAAAATAATCTGGAGTTGTTGGATAAAAAAATATCAACAGCTTTCAGAACAAACAACAACTTAAGCAAATATATTAAGAACAAGAGCCAAAATAAAGAGCACTTACACAGTGGTTGGTACAAACTTACAGGTGGTGACTGCCTAAAAACTTACATAGGTCAAACTGACAGAACCTTTCAGAAATGTATAGCAGAACATAAAAGTGCCTTCAATAACTTAAGATAAACAGTTCTGCTCTCTTCAACTTATTCACTTAACCCGTTATTGTTCGCGTATCAGAAAATGACGCGATTGTTGGCCTATGAGCGCTGCACTGAGTCCCCAATTTCTTCTCATGATAGTAAAAGACAGTCTTTACCGTGCTGCTGTTTAGTTGTCTTTCTTATCCGTTGCGTCCAGTATGGAAAATTGGTTCTATCATATGTTTAACCACATTACTAGGATTATTATTTATCTCAAAGGGGCCTTCTAGCAGCTTTCCAGCATATATTTCCAACTTTGCTGTATAAAAAGTTTGCGAATCAACCAGTGCGAACATTTTTATCCCATATTTTGCCGGCTTACTGGGTATATATTGACGAAAGCTTCATTTTCCCCAAAAACCTTCAAGCATCTCGTCAATGGAGCAATACATTCCAACTGTATAGCAAGCCATTCACTTTTCTAAAAATTCGTCGAAAACACAAAGGAGGATATAGAATCGCTTCTTTGACATAACTGTCCGAAAACATTCAGGAGTACCATTTTTGAAAGTACCAGCTAACTACAACAAGCCAAATAGTGCTCTAATTTCATCACTATTGGTACATACTGCATCCCTTTCACAAGAAAACTGGTTGCGTATTTTTACTAAATACGTAATGGTATGTTGCACAATTTCGTTTTATCATTTCATAATATAAATTATTGCATAATTGGTGTTAACATATTTTTCGCTATTTTTTTTACACCTGGTAGACGAGTAACTATGTTGTGCCTACGTGTGCGACTGGTTTTTCGCTGTGAATTAACAGCCCATTTTGCTATACCATCTTTTCCAAAATAAACTGGATCACCTTTACGACAAACGGAAGCCACATCGTTGTCATCAGAATGTGCTAATAATTCGGAGTCTGTATTATGGCCTAAATTTTCACACTGGTCGATATCACTGTCTTCTCCATCTTGTAAACCAGGTTTATTTTCATTCTTCTCAGCTTCAATTTCAGCTAACCACGCCAAAAGTTGTCTCTCTCGGGCTGAATCCATAATAAAAATGGCAAGTAGTACAATTATATCTCCGCGGTGACGTTAAAACAGCACGATTCAAACACAACAAATTCTTTCTACGGTTGTTTACGTACTGAGCACGTCGGACGCCGCTCAGCTTATATATGACCGAACAAGAAATAAATATTTAGTGGTGGGGTATTTATGCTTGCTGGCAATGTTTTTACACGTAAGTGTAACTACATAAGTGTACATACTACCATTAGAGATTACAATGAGTCTGAATGACGGTTGTTTTCTGAATACTTTTGTAGCCTTAAAAATAATTCCAACTGGGCGCTGCGCTCACCACGCGAACAATAACGAGTTAAAGTGTAAACGCATACCAAAAATAGATCACTTGAGAAAGGCACTCTGGCAAGATATTCGTAGTGATAATAAAATTTAATAAATTTTGCGAACGTTTGGAAAACAAAAGTTTTTATTGTTTTATTGTTGTCAAATCCATCACAAACCGAAAATATTGTACCAATACCAGTACATAAATGTGTACACTAATATACATCGAACTGAAAGCGAAGCTATATTATGACTAGACCATCGAGCAAAAAGACAAAAGAGGGAATGTAAAGGTAGTGAGGGTAAAAATATTGTTAGATTGGAAGTGAGAGGCCAATTCTTGAGAGGCCACATTAAACAAGGAAAGAGAGTCCCTTTCCTTGTTTAAGAAATCAAATTTAGTTGGGTTATGCTATTGCTGTTATTATTGTTTGTACCAACTGTCACATGAAAGATTGGTATTTTTATTGAAGTTTTTTAACAATTTACACATTTTAGACTATTATCGTTATTATTTAATTAAAACTGACCAGCCGCCACTGATCTGTTATGTATCTGTTGTCCAGGTTTTGGATTATTTTTAATAAACACTCATATTGTATTGTTTCTGGGTTTCTTTGACACATTAAATTATTTTTAATTATGAATTTTGAACATAACTGTGCTTCTAGGCGTATAAACATAATTATGTCAATTATGATATAAATATACATTTTTTTTTTCAGTAGAATATAATTCCAATTTTTTATTATTTAAGATTCAGACGATGATGAAGATCGCCAAACCAAACATTCGAATAGAAAGGAACGCTTCTTCTGGCAGTACAACGTTCAAGCCAAAGGTCCAAAGGGGCAACGCCTAGTAATGAAAACCAAAATGGAGGATCCACATCATCTACATGAAATTACAGATCCCGTTTTTAGCCCCGACTGTTCGGTAAGAGGTATCAAACATAGCGGAAAGGCTAGAAAAGGTTAGTAGTTACTGTATTGCATTCAAGTAATCCCTGAATTTTTAATAATAATTTATATCAATTTAACAATATTAAATATTGATTATAATCCCGGGACAGCTTAAATGTGAAATCTGCTTAATTTGAACTTCACGTGTACAACTATTAGTTCAATTCTGTTTGGATATATCTGTTATTATAGGAGATACCAAAAAAGTTATTTATAAAATCCACACTTTAAAATTATTTTCAAATAGATAAGGTTGTCGCAGCGAGTGAAGAAGTTTTATTTTTTACTCTCTGCCTTGAAGGACGGGATGGGCCAGGTGTCGAAGAAGTAGATGGATCAGCTATTCAAACACTAGATGAACGGGGTGTAGTAGAACCGTTATGCGTAGAGAATAACACATTGTCTTCGGCGTCGCTATACCCCCCCAATGTCTCGATAGTGATGTTGTATTTATTTGAAGTAATTTTCTGCTTCAAAAATAAAATAAAATCACGACAAGTTCTCATAACACAAAACATAACCAAAAATAAGACAAATAGTCTAAGAAACTCACTGGATTGGCTTAGCGCATATCTTGTTTCAATAAAATGCTACAGAAATTGAGTTTTACATTATTATGCAATGAAAATTATAGTTACAATTAGTTGTAATATTAATAATTTGAGCACAACAGAATAAAACGTACAACAGCTACACGTTCTTTCGGAATTAGACAGCAGCTCGCAACGGTTAGTGGCACACATAGAAACCAGTTGTATCTTATTTTGGAGAGGGCAGGGCAAGTGGTTTCCATAGAAGGCAGTGAGCGTTGCGCGCGATGTAAACAGCTATTACAGATCATAACCACTTGAATTTACGTGGCTTAATGGACTGTACTGTAAGTGGCTTCTATTGTTGCCACTAACTGTTAAAGGGTTAAACTATGAATTAAACAATGAAAATTTAGTTGGTAACAAATAAAACAATGGTTTAACTAAGTATATTTATTTAACATAAAAGAAAGTAAAACAAACCCTGCCTAGAGCTTTACAATAAATAAATTTAGATCTGATACTTACGGCACGTTTTGGTTGCTTGCTCCGGCTAAGATGTTGTCTCCAGATTATGTGGGTAGGTCCTGTTGCCGCCTCCGGAGCATGTGGGTAGGTCTTATAGAGAGCTGCAGTTATTCCATAAATTCCATATTATTCCATCAATATACATTATTCCATAAAACATTCTAGAAATTTACCAATAAACCCAATAAACTAGAATATAACATCAGCATTAGCGAGACATCAAAGGGGGTTAACTTCCTTGCCAATTATTTTACACAATCACCTTTAAACAAATAGCAGATGGCAAGGATAAAGTAAAATAGAATTATTATTAAAATTAGTTAAGTTTTATAAGATTCCTACATGCATAAAATTGAAAACGTGGCTTTCGAAGAAGTGAGGTTATGAATATTGAAAATGCTGTCAGAATTATAGATCTATATATAATATTAGTACTGTGCATTTCAAAAATGTAATAATATTTATATATTTAGATTAATTTTACACTATAATTTTATTACTATATTTTGGATTTAACGGTGGTCCGCAAAAAACAAGCTCACGGTTCAGATGCTGACCGCTGTCCGCCATTTGGTGACCCTTGGTCTAGAGCAAGTTGAGAATATCCCCCCTGAACTAGCTGGGCAAATTATCCCCTGAGATATTACCCAATAAATGAAGAACAAAAAGAAGAAGGTTTTTATGTCGCCTGATAACAAGTTTTTTCCATTCTTTTTTTCTGTTTCTTGCCAAATTTTTGTTTAGCTTCATATGTTTTACATTCATTATTATTTTTCTATATTTGTGTTGTTTTTTGGGTCTTTTTTATTTTTGCCGAAGTCTCATAATCGACCATCGATATACTCTGATTAGACGATCATCACTAAAAAAAAATCTTGATTCATTAGTGACCAATACAATGACACGGTGTCGATGGCCTTTGGTAAGGAGGGGGGCGGTTGTAGCTGTGCGCGGGTTGATATTATATTCCCTCAACTTTCTTCTAACCATATACTGGCTTATTGAAGTGTAATATTTATGAGAAAACTCTTGTAGGAGTCTATTGGTAACAAATCATATCCTAAGAGCTGGTAGACGTAAAAAGCTGTCTGGGCGGGCTGTGACGATTTTTTGTCGACCTTTTTAACTTTTTAACATTATGTAACACAGAAAAAAGGAATTGGTAACCTATTATTGTTAACTATAATATTATTTGTGCCTTATCAATATAAAAGTACATTCTAGAAATCTAGACCATTATATATAAATTAAATTTCGAGAGTTTTAAAAACCGGTTTTGAAAAAAGTTGGTTTAATTATTCTATCAATGTAGTGAATATATTCTATCAAGGTAGTGAACATTTATTTATATAGAAGGCAATTGATTAATATGCATTTTAGCTTGTTAATGATTCCAATTTTAGAAACCATTTTTTAAAGATTAGATTAGTAAAGAGGTTTAGATTTAAGATGTCTAGATACATTCCTGTATGAAGATATACTCCCTCTTGAAGATATACTTTCTCAGACTACTTTGCAGAACTATTGAGATATTTTAGGGTTCACTGAACACGTAGTCATTAATCTTTTTTTTTTCTCTCTCTCATTTTTATCTTGGTTGACAAACATACATACGTACTGACAATTTACTGAAAACATATAATTAAATTAATTAATTAATTATTCTACAACTAATAATAGTGTGTATGCAGGAATATTAGTAAATTTTCACTAAAAAGTTCCAATTGCTGCATTGTTGAATCGAAGCTTTATATACTGACGGTGTATTAATTTTTTTCTATAGTAAAGTGCAAAGCAGACCGTTACGACACGAACTATTTCGTTTCGTGATAATCCGCCATGTCAGGGAAAGGTCACCACTATGTATACTGGTGTTCTGTTAATTTTACATTAACGTTAATAAATTCTTTTTTAACTATACTCAAATTTTATTTTTAACTCTGCTGTACCGTTCGAGTCAACTATGCAAATGTACTGTTCGGGTCTATAGGACCCAACTATGGTTTAATATTTTAATTTAATAACAAAAAATTATAGTTAATTAAACAAAATATGCTGATAATGTAAATTAAACCTTATTAACAAAAATAAAAGGCATTTCTTCTTTCAATTTTTCTTTCCCAGAAAAGCCTAAGACAAATACCAACAAAATTTAATTTAGTTTACAACTGGGACAGTAATAAAAAGAATGGGTTTTACAAATATGTTTGTGACATATACAACATAAACATTGTCTTGTTTTCGTTTTTAGAGCAAAATTTACAGCGTGCTCATTTAGCAGACGGAGTTGGATTGTCCATAGACGGTTCACTAGAATTTCCATTTTCTCTAGTCGCTTCTGTTCGTTTTCTTTTTACCAGTTCTTGTGAGTCTTTAGTTCTTGGTAAATTTTTCCTGGAAAGTGGTTTCACCAGTGTTCTTCCCAATTCCTCAAGAAAAATTCGCCGTTTTGTAAGTTTGTTGGTGTTCCATTGGGGATTTATTGATGTCCATAAAACGGAGGCATTGTAGACAGAAATGTCCAGCAAATTATAAAAAACAATCATATGCCAGCGATTTGCCTTCCTCTTTCATGTATATGTACCAACAAGCTGATCTAGAGTATCCACTGCTCCCCTACTGGAATTGTAATCTAAAATAATTCGAGATTTTTTGTCATTTCTGTCACTAATAGCCTTATCATAATGCAAAGTACTCATAAGAATAGCATTTTTATTCTTTTTAGGAATATAGTTAACAATAGTGGTATCTTGCGTGAAGTAAAAAGACGAACTATGAACTTCTTTATTCGCATTTTGTGCTGGAAGCTTCGGCTTATTTTTTCTAATAGAAAATTCTCTGATTCTGTTCCGGCACGGCACCTGCCTTTCCTGTATAGTATAGTACAGATCTGCAATTTTAGGGCATACGAACTTTTACTGGTTTACTTGGAATGTACTCTTTGAAGGGACAGCGGCATCTAAAGGCAACTAATTGCTCGTCGACGATAACATTTTCATCAGGGTTAAAAAATTTTATTAGATTTTCTACCCATTTTTCCCAAAATTCACGTATTGCAGAAAGTTTATCAGTACGTCTCCTATCCTGTCTAGTAGTCTTATTATCAAAACGTAGTACTTGCGAAATTTTTGTAACTACTTCCAGGGCAATTGTTGATCGAAATACACTACGATCCGGTTTTTTTATTAAACAAACTTTTAGTTGATTCGCCATGAGACTTAAAAATTCCAGCTAACAATAAAAGACCAATGTATGCATGAAAACGAATTTTATCAAAGTTAGTTTTTCCTATTAGTTCCAAAAACACGCTGTCCTTTCATGTTGGTCATATTTATAATTTGGTTTGCAACAATGTCAGAAAAGAGTGCATCAAATTAGTTTTTGATATCGAAAATTCGTGCACATGCGTACCTTGTAACTCCTGGAGCATTATTTATAACATTGGTCGTGGAAAAACGACCGCGTTGATAAAGAGGATCGGAGGCCACTGGATATTACCGTCTTTTAAAGGAACTGTTAAAGAAGGTTCTACAGGATGCTGTACGTAGAACGGAACAGCAGAATTATCACTACTTTCTTCCTCACTCTCACTATTTGTATTGTTTTCTGTTTCTGATATGCACTCATCACTCTCTGATACGTTCGTGAGCTCGCGAAGCTCATCTTCGGTTAGCGTTCTTCGATACGACGTTATCAACATGGAAACATAGACTGAAATTTGAAATGTAAATGAATGCGCTTGGCATATCAGTGTCCTACCAGCCTACCACTTGCCTATCACCCCCACTTCCTTCTACGTGACATGCCCTTCTAAATCACATCGCCCAGCTACACTACACTTTTTTTACAAGTTCTAGCTTGCAGAAACTTGTTTCTATTTATAGACGTACCTGACTGATAAACTGTTAGAAAATATATAAAATACTGCCAACTAAACATACCTACACAGGTAATTTTTAACGGTTTAAATACGTGGGTCATATTGACCCGAACGTACTATAGGTAACAATTTAATTTTTACAAAAAAAATCAGGAAATTGATTTTTTATCTCGTACGCAATTGAAACACCTCGTATTAGGTAATAATATGAGGTCGAAACACCAAAACGTTACGCCGCGCAATAATTTGCAAAATAAGAAATACATTGTTTTTTGGGTCAAATAGACCCGAACAGGTTAAACATCTTATTTAGTTTATATAATTATTAAATTTACCGTAAATAATATTTATTTATATTTTATTATTACTTTAATATTTAGTCTGACTCTGACGAGCCTGTCAAAAGTAAACAATGTATGCTTGTCAACAATCAATATAACGATAATATATGTTTTAGGCGATGGAAATGATTTAACGCCAAACGCACGAAAACTTTTTGTCATCGGCAGAGAGCTAGACAAGTTAGGCAGAATAATTAATGATATGACCCCCGTTAGCGAATTACCTTTTAATGTACGACCTACGTCGAGAAAGGAGAAGAATAAGCTCGCATCTAGAGCTTGCAGACTGAAGAAGAAGGCACAACATGAAGCTAACAAAATTAAGCTTAGTGGTTTGGAGTATGAGCATAGTGAGTACAGTCTGAAAAAATGTGTTATTAATATTTTTGAAAATCGTATATCTTATATAATAAGATAAAAATACAATTATCAACATTGTTGTGATTATAGTCATCAGTATCAGTCAATATACACGCGTCAATCACAGAGCGCAGGGCGTCTACATAAATATTTAAAGGCTATTCAATATATGTTTGTTTCCTAAAATATTTGTTTTATCATTGTAGAAAAGCTCCTTAACAGTATTGGACACGCGAGACTCCTCTTGAATGCAAAATTATCCGAACCGACTCCAGAAAGACAAGAAGAGTTCACGAATAATATGGAAAGACTGTACAGAAATTCCTCTAGTAAGTATCTAATTTAAGCAGTAGCAGATAAGTGGCAGGGATAACATACACTGCACCCCAAAATTAACGCATAATTTTGAAAACTCTGGTAAATCAAATAATTTTAATGTTTTGAAGTTTGTGCTAATATATTATTGTTACCCCCGGTATATTGTAAAATTTTTCGAAAGAACGGTAAAAACGCTGATGTTTTTACCATTTTTTGCAAAAAAATTAAAAACATGCTAATTGTGCTTCATTTTATTTCCAATTTAGTTGGGTTGGATTAAGTCGTGCTGAATATTTAAAGGGGTTTTTCAAATTTATTAAGTGTTTTTTCTTTAAAATGGACCACCAGCAGCAAGAAAATCGAAATTTGTTAGAAAGTGACTGTTTTAGAATCGTTACTCTTCGCGAAGAAGGATACGCTCAAGTAGAACTCGCTGAACGTTTTAACGTCACCCAGTCAACCATTTCAAGAGTGTTAACACGTTTTTCTGTTACTTGAAGTAACTTGAGAAGACCCGGTCAATGCCGTAGAAGGGTTACAACTCCTAATAAAGACCGGTTTTTGACACTTCGTACACTGAGACAAAGGTTTGTTATCAGTACTTCTCTACAAAATGAATTTTTGGATCGTTATAACTTTAGAATCACCCAAAATACGATTAGTAGAAGACTTGCCGAAAACGACCTACACCCTGGAAGGGCACCAATTGGCCCATTATTGACCAGAGATCATAGAAGGCAAATATTGCATTTTGCTCGTGAACATGTTGATTGGAATAATGACGATTGGGGAAGAATATTGTTCACCAATGAATCCAGGTACTGTCTTTTTTCATGACAGGAGAAACCGAGTGTATAGAAGACCTGGGGAACGATACGCATAGTGTAACACCGTAGGGACTGTACAGTATGGCGGCGGCTCGGTAATTGTGTGGAGTGGGATTAATTTAGAGGCTCGTACTGAATTAGTTCAGTATCAGAGGTAAATAACTACAGAGGTAGAAGAGCATGTCGTGCCATTTGCACCATTTATTGGGGATAATTTCATGCTTATGCAAGATAATCCCAGGCCACACACGGCAAGAATTGTGCAGCAGTATCTTCAGGAGGTTAGAATTCCTACCAAGAATTGGCTTGCGAAAATTCCTGACCTCCACCCAATAGAACATGTTTGACCTGACCTCACCAAACACGTTAGATGAACTGTTTTTGCGGTTGGTTGAAATTTGGGATCAAATTGATCAAGAAGAAATCAGAACGATTATTCTCAGTATTAGAGATCGTTGTTAAGCAGTAATAAATCCCAGAGGAGGCAATACTCGATATTAGTACACGGTACTAGTATTTTCTTTCGAAATTTAAATTTCGTCATTAATTTATAATGTTAGTTTGTTTAGATCAGTTGTTTGTTTAGATGTTTAGATTTATGATGTTACATTGTTAATTTCAATACTTTTTTTTTGTAAAAAAAGCAATGTTTTTTATTTGAGATGTTCTAAAACAACCATAAAGCAGAAAAGAACAAACAAAACTTTTTTCATTACAACTCAAAATAAAAATTTTAAAATTATGCGTTAATTTTGGAGCGGAGTGTATTTGCAAACAAAACATGCCATTACTGTAGTCTAAATGTTCATAAAATTAGTTGATTGATGTATGTTTTTTAACTTTCCTATAGAATCTGCGTTTGGTAAAGGTAATGGCCTTTATATAATATAATGAGATTCCTTTAGTCATCTCAAGATCTTGGGCAACACAGTGGGCTAGAGAGACGTTATGCGGAACACTAAAAAGATCCTGGTGAATTTCTGTGGTCACGCCGAATCTAGCACTTTTTCGCTCAGCTTAATTTGACATATTAGTCACCGGTCATCTTTGATCCCATGTTGAAGGGTTCGTGCTTCTTTCGTTTCATTTGAGCCAGCATAAAGTGCAAGACGATTTATGTGAACTAATTTTGGTTTACCTTTCGGCAACTTCTTAATTCGGTATATTACGTCATTTATTCTCTTTTTAATTTCATACGGACCTTCCCATTGTCTTTGCAGTTTAGGAGGCAAGCCTCGACGACGTTGTAGATTATAAAGTCAAATAAGATCATCTACTTCTTGCATCGAGAATCATATTCATCTTTCATTCTGTCACTGGTTAACTGGATGTTTTGTCGGGCAAGTTCATGAATGTTGTTCAATCTTAACTTCAGGCGGTCGACATAATCTTCGCTTGCAACATGTTCTTCGGAAGGTCTACAGTCAAACTCTAGGTCGCTGGGCAAACGAACTTCACGACCTAATATCAGGCCGGTTGGAGTCTGGCCTGTAGTTTCATTCCTGGCCGAACGGTAGGCCATTAGGAATCTCTTTGATGTTCTGATACAACTTTGGACAGGTGTTTACCCATCGTTTGGTTCATCCTCTCGAACATTCCATCTGATTAAGGATACAGCGATGTCGTTCTGGTCTTATTGACACCAATCAATTAACAAACGTTTTGGAAAAGGATTGACTCGAAGTTTCGTCCTTGGTCGGAGTGCATCTCCAAGGGAACACCAAATCGGCTACAGAATTCTTTAATAAGTGCTTCTGCAACGGTAGTAACTTCCTGATTTGGTATCGCATACACCTCAGTCCATTTCGTAAAATAATCCATGGCTACCAGGAGTACCAGGATATATTTATTTCTAATCATTCGTATCTGGAAGTGAACCTGCAATGTCGATCGCTACTCTTTCCATAGGACTACCAACATTGTACTGTTTCATGGGTGCCCTCTTTTTACTAACTGGACCATTACTGGTTGCACACAGTTTTCCAGCACCATCTTCTTACATCATCTTTACAGTTCACCCAATAGAACCGTTGGCGAACCTTTTGAAGAGTCTTCGTAAAACCAAAGTGTCCACCTGATGCACCACCATGCAACTGACGAAATACCTCTGATACTTTACTTTTAGGTACAATCAACTGAAGCTTAGATTCTGTACCATCATCGTTCTCAGAGGTTCTATACAAAAGATCATCTTTTAGCACTAGGTAATTCCATTGGCTCTAGTAAGACTTGACTTCTGGACTACATACACTAATGTCTTGCCAAGTAGATCTCTCACTTCGATGCATCCAATCCAATACATTTTTATACATGGATCATCTGCTTGGGCGTCTAGTAGCTGTTGAGACTGACAATTTGCACTGCACGGCCGTCTCGAAAGAGCATCAGTATTTAAGCGCACTCTTCCAGCCCTGTGTTCGATCTCGTAATCACATTCTTGTAATCGTTCTAACCATCTTGTCATCTGGCACTCTGGATTACGGAATTGTAGGAGCCATCTTAGATCCGTACGAAGAAGAAACTTTCTGCCATACAAGTATTTATGGAAATGCTCCCAAGCCTTCACTACGCCTAACGATTCTCTCCTGGTTTCGACAAAACATAGTAAAGTGCAATTTGTGCAATATTTGTTGCACAAAAATTGAGCAGTTGAACAAGCATGTGCATAGTGTAAAAACGCCTAAGGTGATTGCTTTTATGATTTTTTAAAAGTTTTAAGATTTTTTTTTCATCGACAAATATATATTTCTCATTCTCTTCACCAGTTATGTTATAATTATAAAGCAACTGGTTTACTGATATTTTGCGTTTTTGTAATTTGCAGAGGTAAAAATAGCTGGTCATACAACGGACTATGTCAACAAGGTTCTGGAGAAATTCAAAAGTAATGCACACACTACTACTACTCACGTTTCAGACGATTGATAGTCTTAAAATAAGATAAAAACCTGTTAACCAAATCTCATTGTGCATTTTCTGTGGTAACTACTTTGTGGTATAATATGTAATGGAAACGTTTTCTATTATAAGATTGTAAAATGCATGTTAGTGATATTGATAGTTTATTTTTCATGCCCATACTTACAGTATTGCCTTTGCGTAAAACTATTTTAACGATTTTTCCTACCAATTTGATTGCACGTTATTTACCATAAGTTCAATTTTATGTCGTCACAAGTATCCAGCGTTGCCTAGCGTTTCGAATGTTAGCAGATTTAAACAAATTTAAAAATTATAAGGTTATGTCAGTACTGCAGGTTGGAAACTAAAGATAAAATATTGATTTGAAAAGAAGATTAACTTAAATTTTCATTTGGAAAAGAACGTTGGTAATAACAAAAAGAAGTATCAAAAATTACTGGATAATTTTTTATTAAAGTTCATAATAATGATCCTTGACATCTCTATAATTAAGTATTACTGCTCTTATAGCAGTTAATAAGGCATACCATTAGTAGACACTCGCTAGAATAGTTTTTTAATTAAGATATTATTATTAAGAGCTCCTTACAAAGAATATTTAATTAGTTTGTTATTTTGTACACGATAGAAAACAAAAAGCTTAATGTCAGACGTACTATTATCTAATCACCTAAGTAAAAATCACCTAACTTTAATGCATACTATTAGATAAAATTATTGTATTAGTCAACATAAACAATAATTTTTATATTATAAATATCTAATCATAGTATATTTTGAACATTTATGTATCTTTCTGATTATTGATTTAGGCAAATCATGGGAGTTGGTACTTGTGTGACGACATAGTTTTGTCATTGATGTTGTGGAATGAAGTTGGTAGGAGATACGGAATACTGTATTTATATTGTGTAGAACTTTGTATTAATTTGTATATTATATATTTTACTTTTAGATTAGCTTACATGGTGTTATTTCTTTTATTAAATGTGTTTTGTGCCATAAACATGATTAATATAACGAGAAGGTAAACGATCTTACTTTTAACATAAGGATATTTTCATTATTTGCAACATGGAGTAAGATTTGATAGTTTATTTAAGTGTTTATTAGGAACATGCGATATTTTTGAAATATTTTTGTTTCAAACATTTCAAAATTGTTGAGATATTTTGTTTTCGGTTACATTTTTTTAATCATATTATTTTATTGAAATGGAAAGCGAGTTTTATGGCAGTTTTAAAGCGATTGAAAACATTTTTCGTATGCTTGTGAAGGTTTATTCGCAGGACAGATCGTTAAGAAGATTTGAATCGGTGAGTTGAAAAAGGTACCTCAATCAAAAATCAGGCATTTTGACTTTTTAGCGGATTTTATTTCCTTAAAGGTAGATACATGTCTTAGTGTAAAAAGGGACCTCAGAAAAGTTCTCTAAATGGTATATTTCAATACACAGTTTTATGTCACAGTCACTGACTCAGGTACGTTTTTCCACCCAACTTCTTTTGTTTACTACTCTGTGTTTGGTGGGCAGTCGTCAGTCAGCTGTCTGCTGCCAAGGGAAATCAACGTTGTTGTTGACAACACATTTTCTTGTTTTAAACATTAAGATTAAGTTGATTATTAGTGGCAATTGTGATCTTAAAACATGGAAGATGACCGTGAAAATATACAAGGAAGTAGAAAAAGACAAAGACATCCTGAACGTTATAAAAGGAACATAATAAAACAAAAAATCCTACAAGGGGAAGAGTACATTAATCATAGTGGTACAGTTAAAAGAGCCAAAGCTGTTTCATCACCATGCAGGTAAGATCTCACAAATTTAAACTTCAATAACACTATACTTTGTTCTGAATGGTTAACTCTAAATTATATTTTATTTATGTTGTAAAACAAAACGAATGTTATCGGATTACAAGAATAAACATAACCCTGTTATAGGTTATGTTTCAATAGCCTATTTTACATGTTTCATTAGCCTACTAGGCAAAGTTTTTGTTAGTTAACTAAAATAACGTTCGAGATAATAGGTTAGCTATTGATTATACAACATCTACCTGAATTTTTTACAAGTTAACAAAGTCTAAACCAAGGCCTAGTGGTACTATTAAAAGGTTGGTTAAACTTTATTCTTAGGCCTATACATACATGAATCCTATCCAAGCCATATTACTACTGAGGCAATGAATGTAGATCATTGTGTGGGCTCCTATTTTATTTCAGGTTACACATTTTCCAACCCATAACTTTGATGTTTATTCCCTACACATTTTACTGTTGGTAACCAATTTAAACCCCTGCGAAGTATTTTTTCTGCTGTCTCCTAATGCTATTCGCTTTATTTCCAGATGCACAAGGAAGTATTTTGAACAATTTGATGAAGCCGATACTGCCTTGATATTTGATTCATTATACAAATTGGGGAGTAAGAACGAACAAGATCTACACTTGCAACGCATGATTGAAGCATTTGACGTCAAACAAAGAAGACCAAGGAAGGGAAATGAATCTAAAGAACTTGACAATACCTTTAAGTATCATGTACTTCACCAAGGTAAAAAGATTCAAGTTTGTAGAAATGCCTTTTTCCGACTTTATGATCTCACAAATAAAAAATTAGGCGAATTCGAAAGTTATTAAAAGATGGGCAATCTCCTCGGGACATGAGAGGGAAAAAATCCCCTTCTAACAAAAAAACACCCGATTTGTTCAAATTGATTCATGATCACATTGAATCTTTCCCAGTTAAAAAAACACATTACGCAGCAAAAGAATGCCTTTACTTGTCTTCAGAACTGACAGTAAGAAAAATGCATGAGCTCTTCAATGAGCAATGTCCCAGTATTAGTCTTAAATACGAGTTTTATCTCAAGTATTTCAATGAAAACTTTGATTTGAAATTTGGTAAACCGCAAATTGACACCTGTGCCTACTGTGAGGAACGTCAAGTTAAATTGAAAAGCCCTCATCTTAATGAAAATGCAAAGCGTGTTGCGACGGCTGAATTAATGGTTCATCGTAGGCGTGCCAAGCAATTTCACAATGCTCTTAAAAATACAACAAATTTGTCTGAGTCAAATGACAAAATTGTTGGCCTAGTCTTTGACTTTATGCAAAACATTGAGTTGCCCAAAATACCGGTGCAAGAAGTATTTTACCTGCGCCAATTAACCGTACAAGTTTTCTGTGTTTATAACACAAAAACTAAACTGTCTCATTTTTATGTTTACCATGAAGGGAAAGCCAACAAAGAAAGCAATTATGTTACTTCATTTTTAATGAATTACATTAGCACACTACCTAATGAAGTTGAGGAACTCCACCTATTTTCTGATAATTGTTGGGGACAGAACAAAAACTATACATTGTCTAAAGTTTGTATGGCTTTGTGTGACTTAGGAAGGTTCAAAGTCGTGAAGCAATTTTTCCCTTTGCGCGGTCACTCTTATAACCCTTGCGACAGAAGCTTCAGCATGATAAAGAGGCCAATGAGAAGACAAAATAGGATTTTCACCCCTAAGGAAATTTGTGAATTGATTGTAAACTCTTCAAAGAAATCTCCATGCACGGTGACCTTAGTTGAGACCGAAATGGTTGTTGACTACACCAATTGGTGGCCTACAGTCTATAAAAGGACTGTAGTATCAACCGAAACAAAAACCTTGCCTCATCAAGAAAAGCAATCGCTTAATATTTCAAAGTTTCACTATTTTCAGTATTCTCATTTGGAAAAAGGTAGTGTCAAAGCAAGTTTGCACATAAGATCAGTAGAGTTTCAAACGTTACATACATTCAACTTGCAGAAGAATCGTTGTCTCGCGCTACCTGATACAAAAGCTTATCCCAGGGGTTTTGTACCAATCAAAAAGAAAAAAATTGATGATTTGAGAAGATTGTATGATTACATTCCAAGCGACCACATCCAATTTTATGACGAAATACTGAATTGGGAAACAACGGATTAAAAAGATGAAGGATTGGCAACTATTTAACAAACAAAAAATTAAAACTGTTTAATTTAGTATTTTGTAAATAAAAATGTTGTCAATAAAGGTTTTTTCTTAAACAGGCTTATTATTTACCTTCTTTAGTGATTTATTTTAAGTGGTACTTAAAAAAATGTCAATTGAGAGCAAAAAGGTACCTAAGTCAACAATGATAAATATTTTTTTATTAATAACCTACCTAAACTTTGGTTATATTTTGGTTATTATATAGTTTCTATCACCAATTGCAATTTCTGGAATTTTTCTGTAAATTTTAATTTAAAAAGTAAACAAGTTATCAAGTTTTTTTGCGTTTCCCGAAACTTGTAAAAAATGACTCGGGTACCTTTTTCAACTCACCGATTCATTTGTGTTTAATAAAACAACGTGACGGTCGATTAGTAAAGAGTTTATTCAGCAATAAGGCTGAGAATATTAACAATATTTGCATCAAATAAAAATTAAATACATTAACATATAATACTTAGACAGCGCGCTGCTCTAAACCCATTCCCCTAGTGCGACAGAGAAAAAAGATACGAGCAGTCCATGCATATCTGTCTATGGCCGGGGTTTATCGACCACGTGACAGTGGGAAGGTCACGTAATCAATAAACACCGGCCATTAGAAAGAGATGCAAGACTGCTCATATCTTTTTCTTTGTCGCACAAGGAGAATGAGCTTAGATTGTAGAACTCAGTCTAGGTATTATATGTCTATAGTTTGACAAGTGGTAACATAACCTAAAAACAAATAATTCTTCTTTTCTATGCTCTTGCGTGAAGGCCAAGATTTATAAAATCAATTGATTTTTAAATGTACTCTGTTGAGATCCATAGATTGATACGTTTTTGTAAGTAATTACGTCTTGTAAGTAGATACAGGAACTGTGTCCGTCGTGTGAGGTCTCGGTACTAGCTAAGAAACTTAGAAGCGAGATGAGACCATAAGATGCCCTGTGACGTTGGACAACTTTGCTCTCATTCCATATAACCTTTGGATGGAGTCCGAAAGCATAAACATCTTGTCTTTATTACGTCGTGGGTGGTAATGGAGAAG